GGCTTTAATGCCATCTTCAATATCACCGATCTTCCATCTGTTCTCAGTGGCGAGCCCCTTGGTGTTTGTTGGGAGTACTCGGAGTAGTGAGGGAGTCATGTAGGTGAGGTTGCCAAGTAGAACATGTGTTGCTTCAGCCATTGGTACGGTACCGATACCGTAGGTTCATTGCGCTCAACATTTTTGCGGCAAGGCGCCACGTATATAAACAAATTTCATTATCCAGCGCACTGCTCAAGCTTAATTGGGCCCCAAACTGTTACGGTGTTTCAGATCAGGTATATTCTGTTTCTCGATCCTCACGTTGAGCACCTGAAGAAGCTGGGCGCAACGCTTGCGAAGCCTGGTGCGAAGCTCAATTTTGCAAAGAAGGACATTCACCTTTGCAATTGCTGGTCAGACAAGTTCAGTAGTTGGAGATAGTTGGAAGCATGGGCAACATTTTTGCACTAGGTGGATTGTCTTCTTGAATTCGAACGTCAAAGATACATGTGCAATGAAACGGGCTTTGTTAGCTCGTTGCAAGTGAAGGTTCAGGAGCTTGTCGCCGCAGTGAAGAGATCAAGTAAATTTTGTAGAACTCAGTGCCCACAAAAGCCGGTTTCAATTAAGATGGCGCAAACGCCTGAATGCCTTTGCAGATGTGGGTCTGTATGTTCACCATTTGTTGAGGGTTGTGCCATCTTCTTTGAAACCTACAGGATGCAGTTGTCCAATTTTTTGGGGTATGTGCCTGGCAGGATGTGAAGAGGTGCTGGCCCGACCAGTTCAGCTCCTACGAGCTTGAAGGTTGCCAGCTTGCCAATGGAAGCTACCGCGGAACATTGATCCGAGCGCCCTTGCGAGAGAGGCCGAGTGACATCAGTGGTCGGCACTTTGGAGATGCAGACATCAAGGAGTTGTTGAAGCTGATTGAAGGTGAGGGACACCTGTGGCTGCTTTTCCTTCGACAGATTTCGGAGTTGGAAGTCATCGATGTTCAGCGCAACAAAGTGCTGCTGCACCACAGAAGGGCGGACAAACCAGAACATGTCTCCATTTTGAGCAAGAACCACTCAGATGAGAAGGAGCGTAGCTACTGCTATGATGTTTGTCACAATGGAGATGTTTCCGTAGCTTTGCCACAAAGAATGGATGGCTGCCCACAGGTTGGCCGCATTTTCAGCCGGCTTCCTTTGTCTGATGTCCTTTCAGGAATGCCTGCGCATTTGTCAGCGCTGTTTTGGACAAGCACAGACCGAAGAACGTTGGTTTTGGATGCGGCCAAAGACCAAGGTCACTGGGCGAGCGAGAACCGAAGCCTGCTTCAGATGGCCTGCGAGTGCTTGATTTCATTGTTGGCAAAGAAGTCAGGGGTTCAAAGGTCAACTTTGTTGCACTTTTTCCCGACTGCAGATCAACCTGGTTTGGCTGCCAAGCTCCTGCATGAGCTTTTCTTTCGAGGAGTTGCCCAAAGATGTAGGTCTTTGGAGTCTGAACAGGTGCTCTATACAGTGGCTGGTAAACCTGCCACCAAACTGCCCATTTTGCTTAGTCTCCACAAAGAAGTTCCCGAGGCTTTGCAGAAGCTAGAGGCTCCGGTTGTTGTGGTGAACGAAGTGGCGTTGCAGGGATTGCTCCAGGCGGATGGGTCTGCGCTTTTAGAGTTGACCCCGCAATCCCTCCGGGCGTGGCTCAGAAAAATGGACCCCACGCTTCACCAGTTTTGTGATCCTGAGATCCTCCTGTACGCCATCGGTGATGGAGCTCGCAAGTCCCAGCAGGGCCTGTACGGGGAGGACTTGGATGGATGCCCCCTGGCATTGACGGCAGATGGCAGTGTGCATTGCTTCTCAGCTGCTACGACTTGGTTTGCGTGTTGCAGGAATGAGGATGACTGGGACTTGGCTCGACACCTCCCAGGTCATAGGACCCTCAAGAATGTAATGAGGGCAAGTCAGGTACTTCTCCAACATCCACAGGTTCGAGAAGTTGATTTCGAGGCTGTGGCAGAGCTGGGTGTCCATGCTTCAGGTGAAGCTTGGGCGGGTGCATTTTGGCGATGGTACCGAAGGAGATGTTTGCATAGGCCGGAGATGAAGCTGGACCCAGCTCCACATCTCCTGGACCAGTTGCAGGTGCTTTGGCACCAAGAAGCAGATGGATCCATCCGACTGCATCCACTCCATCAGCGCCACCGAGCTTTGAGCTGCAGGGATCTGAGGGCGCCAATCGTCAAGTGCCTAAGAGCTTGCCACGTTTTGATCGTCCTTGATTGCGATTGTCCCCCTGTTCATGATCCCAATGCTTTGGCCCATGCCCTCTGCTGGGCACGGAAGCATCATGGTCCGGCAGACTTTCGGATGAGCTGCGAGGACCAAGGCTGGCGTGACCTGCTCGAGGCTTTGATCCGATCGCAGGTGCCAGAAGCATCGGAGATCGCCAAGGCCTTGCCGCTCTTCCGCAACTGGCAGAAGCAGTTGGTAACTCCAAGCCTTCAGCTGTTTCCCTTGAGTGTGTCAGATCGGTTTCGCAAGGCGGTGTCCACTCTGTCATTTGACCTGTTGTCCGAGAATGACGGCCACATCGTCCAGTTTCTTCGGAAACTGGAGGTGGTGGAGATGGAGCCAGAAGAAGTGGCTAGGCAGGCCCTGGCTCAGAACAAAAGGGTTGAGTTCATAGCAGAGGTCTTGTGTGCCAACTTGGAAAGCGTTCTGGCCAACATGCCAATCTTTCCTGTTGCCCAGCACGAGGAGCTTCTGCCAATTGATCAATGCCTGCTGTGGGATGCTGAAAAGGACTTCAAATGCTTGACCAGGCGGCTGCGTGAAGATGCTCGGGTCTTTGAACAGCATTCTCACAAGCTTCTGGCCCTTGGATGCCGGCAGCAACTGGACCTCATGGATGCGATAGAAATCGCAAAGTCTGCAGCCCACTCGAAAGATTCGTCGTTGTCCCAGAACTTGCTCCAGAGGTTGACTCAGCTGGAATATCTATGCACAGAGCCATCAGAGCTTCAGGAGATTCCATGGCTTTTGTCTTCCACATCCAAGGAGGGCAGAGAGGTTCTTTTGCCACCAAAAGACGTCTTCCATGTTTCGGCAAAGGCTTTGGTGGGGCTTGTGAGGCCCATCGCCTGTGGACCAGCTGAGACCTTGAAGCTACTTGGAGTAAAGATGGAACATGATGTGGATGATCCCATACTTCTGGAACAGCTCAAGGCTTTGACGTTGGTAGCGAAACATCGACGTGTACAGGCGCTTGAGTGTCAAGCAGTTTACTTTCGCTTGCATCAGGCTCCAGACTTTGAGTCGTGGATTTGGACAGAACATGGCTTTGCTCCACTGGATGATGTGTCGAAGGACCCTCAAGCAACTTCACTTTCGCCTTACATGCATACATTGATGCATGACTGGTTGGAATATCCCATCTTCTACGAGATGAGGGAGAGGCTTTGCGTCGCCAAGCTGCTTCAATTATTACAGAAACTGAAGCTCTTGCAAGGAACTTCAGCTGAGGCAGAGTTATCGATCCTGGGTGGTGTGTGGACATCTGTGACTCAGTTCTTTACCGGAGAGAACCAGGAGGAGAAACAAAAACGCAACTTGGATGTGGCTTGCAACATTCTGAAGTTGTTGCACGAGAGGATTGGAGAGATTCGATCCAAACAAGATCTTTGGATTCCTGCACGGGACGGAGTTCTACGACAAGCCGGTGAGCTGTTCGTGCATGATATGCCCTGGACCTCGCTACATCCCGACGGGTTTCATCTTCTTCACCGAAATGTCCCAGAAGGCTGGGCGTGTGAGCAGTGCATTTTCACGGGTTGCTTGAGGGTTCAACATAGACATACACATGATGTGCAATTTTGCAGATTATCTCTTATTGTCATTGTAGTTATGGGTGCTTTGTGCTCACTGTGCTGCGCTGCAAGGCATTGCCCGCGACTTTGGGGTCGAACCGAACAGCCTGTTGATGCTGAGGATGTTGAGAAAGGATCCATCAGGCCTTGAGGCAACAGACCCTGACCTGGACATGCAACGACTGCGAACTTTCCAGAGCGAGCACAAGCAGAGCCAGGAGACTTCGTGTTTTAGGGGAATGAATGGATATCATGCCTGCTTCTTAAACTTTTTACTTGCGCAACTTGAAGCCTCGAGTCTCGAGCACCTTTGATTAGAGAGAAGGAGCTGCGATAGTAGGATTGGTTCACCTGGCACCCCATTATCCTTTAACCTTGCTATCCTGCAGTAACAAAAACTGGGCAGATGGCCAGGAGAGGCAGGAGAAGTCCCTTGCTGCCGTCTTGGAACTATTCCTCGAAATGGCAAACTCCGCAGGGGCTTCAAAGGTGCGCTTCACGTTGGATTGGAGGCTGCACGAGGATAAGTCCCTCCTGACAAAAAACATGGAGAGGCTGCAAGGTCCGGCAATACACGTTGTTTTTGATGCAGCTCTGGGAAAGAAAGAGTGGAAAGGCTTGAGGAATCTGGAGAGAAAGTGGGCACAACTCTTCGCCTTTTCGGCGCCTGGGCCCAACCACATGTGTGAGCACATGAGAGCACGTCTGACGTGCGGAAAAATGATAGGCAACGTTAGACAGATGAAACGTATTGAAATGTCAGGGGTTTACCTTGATAAGTCTTGTTTTTTTTTGGAAGCTTTGGCGCTTGTCTGGATGACACTCTTGATCACGTATTTTGCGAGGATGTGATCTCTGTTGTGAGCAGAGAAACTGCAGTTTTCCTCGACCCATTCCAGATCTACCTGAAAGGCTTGCTGGAACATTCGGATGCATTTTGGCTGGCTTTGTCTTCGAAGGATTTGAGCAAAAAATGGCCTGACCAATTCAAACCCTTTGAGGCAGGACTTGAGAATCTCTTCTCGGGTGAAACAAAAGCGACTGTGGTGCGCTTGCCTTTGAGAGATGCTTTCGGTAAGTCTATGGTGGAGCTCGAGAAGTTCAAACATTTCCTTCACGCAGAAGTGAAGAGTGTCACTTCCTATGAGAACTGGCTTCTTTTCACTGAGAAAAGGTTGAAGAAGATTCTGATCCACGAGATTTCTGACAAAGAATCTTCAAACATCAATCCTCGCTTTGATGATCTTTATATCCTATCCAGTGAAGTGGTGGCTCAGGAGTCACATGTGAGCGACGCTCTCAGTCAGCCTGGAATCACCAGCCAAATCGAGAAGCGTTTCTTGCAGCTTGGGACGAGCAAGACTGAGTGGCTGGTTGGCTGGCGAAACTCAGTGGCAGTTGCTTGCCAGCGGGGCAAGCATGACCCGATTGCACCCAGTGTAGGCACCATGTGTATAAATGGACAGTTGGATTGACACGGTTTGTTTCCTTTTCCAGTTTTGAAGATGGATACTCCAAAGATTAGCCCTTTAACAGCCATTTCGCTGGGCGCCCTACAGGCACAACTGCTCGCTTGAGGGCTCAGAATCCAGAAGTCTTTCCGGGTGCTCATGTCTTTGGGCTGGAGCCACTGCAGCTACAACACATGGCGACTGGGAACGCGAGCCACGAAGAGATTGAGCAGTTGGCCGATCTTGCCGTGGACCTTGTACTCCATGTTTGGGCAACGGAGATTCTCAATGACTTAATCAAACAGCTTTGCGTCATTTTTTGTATTGGAATTTCAAGTTTGACATGTAGGTGCGGTTTTTGACACTTGCATAGATGATATTATGCAGCATGTTTTGTGCAGTTGCCTGTAGTCACTGGATCACCAAAACAGGGGCTATTCAAATGCATGTTTGGTTACTTCTTTGAGGCATCGCTTTCTGGGAGATCTCCTTCCTGTAGAGCAGCCACCGCACCATCATTCAGGAGTTGCCAGGCAGAGTTGGGTGTATGACGTCAAGCTATCCGTCTTTGCTTGTCTTGTATATCTAGTTTGGAGGACGGCCTGTGAGCGCCTATGATATCAGCAATTTTGTCTCTTGTGATTGCGAAAGAGACAGAGAGAGAAAGAGACGCGCGCGCATAGACGCAAACACATGACACATGCAGTTTGCATCATCCCTCTCAACCGGGCCTCGCGTGCTGAACTTGTGTCGTGAAAGTGACTCGACAGGTGTTTCTCCAAGGCTTTGATCAACCGCTTCAATGTTCAGGGCTACAAGATCGACAAATGCCACTCAGCACCCTGCCCAGAGATGTTTATAGTTGATCCTGCGTTTCAGGGCTGGCTGGCATCAGAGCTCCAAGTTGTGGTACTACCACAGAAGTTGAGAGCGCTCTTTACCCAAGCAGCCAGTTTGAACATCAGACACCCACCTGTTGCTCATGTCCTGCAAGGCTTTGCTCGGCTTCCTCCGAGGCATGCACATATTGCTTGCAGATGGCTCTTTCAAGGCTTTCCGGACGCCAAACAGATCTTGGCAAGCTCGTTTCGAGGGTCGGTGTATCTTCTGCAAAGGGAGGACTCAAAGTACGACAACTTCGAGGGCTGGACCTGGTACTTCGATGAAGTTGAGAAGAACAAGGAAAACTTTTGGCGCAAACTGATCCATTCACCGGAACCTGCCCACAATGTGGTCAAACCCAGTGAGCTTGCCAAGAAGCATTTTGATCAGTCCTTGGGAGTACTTGACCCACGGAAGATTGAAGATTTGGCCAAATGTCCCACTGATGTGAATATGCCATACTTTTGGCGGCTGTTCAAAGAAACGGCTTATGAAAAGCAAGAGCATCAGCTGGGACTTTTGAAAGGGAAATTCAATGTTCAAGTCCTTCACCTTGGTCGAAGAACATCTGTTCTGCTCGAGGAGCATTGCGCCCTCAAAGACAACGTCCCTTCCGCTGAGGCTTTGGTGGCCATTGGTTGCTACATCGCAGTCGATCCGGTGCCGGCGCCCTTTGCTGGGAACAAGCCCTTGGACGTTGCAAAGCACTTGCAAGTCCTCCGGGCCAAGAGCGTCCTTAAGGTGGAGAACGCGGAAGCTCGACACAAGGATGCGCTGTGCAAGCGCTTCTTGGATGATTCGATGGAGGAAGCGGTGCTGAAGGTGTTTGTGGACCTGCCGATTGTCAAGGGAGAGAGCGCGTATTTGACCTTGCGTCAATTTTGCAAAGGCCTCAGTCATCCCTAATTTAGGTCAGCTTATCCTGCAAGCATGGGGCAAGGTTTCTGGTCCGACCATAGAACCTTGATATATTCAATTTAACTGAATAGAATATCTAGATTTGGGGTATTACTCTGCCACATTTGCAAGGCACCGTGCAGAGCAGCAGGCTGGCCAATGCTTGCCGAAGTTCCGGCCTGCAGGCCAATTGCCGGGCGTCTTGCTGCGATCATGCCGACATTTGATATATCACGGCAGAGTGAGTGCAAGCTTTGTTGTCATGCCTGGCAGTCTGCCATGTTTCCGAAGACGAACATGGATAAACTTGTTTAGCAAGATGCTCTCTGGACAGCCTTCGACGTGACTGTTTGAAGCTAGTGAAGCAGCAGCGCGAGCACATCTTGCAAGCAGGTCTTGGATTCAGATGATGTCCGATGCAAAGCTCTCAAGAAGGTTCTTCCGCAAGCTGAAGTTGTTTGTCTGCACATAGAAGAAAGCCTCTCTTCAATTACTTTGTGTGCTCGGAGCTCCCCCTGAAGGAATCTATTCTTATTTGAGCCTTGATTTTTAGGGCAGATTGCCAATCTAGAGTACGTATCATTCAATAGATCTCCATAGCTTTAACCTTGAGACTTTCGGCATCAGCGAGTTGCCGTGTTGTTCCCAGCTGTTCAGGTCCTTCCAGGCAACCTTCTCCAGAAACACGAAGAGCACTTGCGAAGACGCGCTGCTGGCGTCGCCTGGACGGTGTTTGAGGACGTTGGAGGTTCACTTTGCTTTGGATGGGGATCCATTTTAGACATGGGTAGATCATGATTCGAGAGCAAGGTGGGGAACTTACGTGCTATGTGAGAATGCCAGGGTACCCCTCTATCGAGATGAAGGGAGTTCAAAACTCCCTCAGTTTTAGAATCCACGTTCTTTTCGCGGCGCAAGTGTGCATCGGCCAACCTTGCGCCCTTGATTGGGTCAACCATGCGGAAGGACACAGGACTTCGTTGTGTACCTCTCGTGTTTGGTAGACTGCGGTTAGTTGGATCAAAGGCCAACATGGAGATCCTTTTGGCAGCGTTGGATGCTGCTCGAGGAAATGAGAACCAGATCCAGAAGCTTGGTGTGGGAGAACCAATGGCGGTATTGCGATACAAAGTATTTTGCGCGCTGGCCTCACCTGGCTGGGCTTGTTTGAGCCATGTGACATGCATGTATCCATACAAGATCATATGTGGTACCTAGTTGGCTTGCCTAGTAAATTTTTTGGTTTTGTTTGAGCACTCGGGTGTGGTGAGGATGCATTTGGAAATCATAAAAGGACCACTCCTGTGCCATGTAAAAACATGTTAAGGGGACCAGGCACGACTGGTCCTTCTAAGGATCATCATGCACTGCCCACTGCTTCCAAACGGGCGTACGATGGAAAGTTGCTGGAGGCCCACTGATCCTTTGGATGCTTGGCCGAATTCCATGTTCTTGGTGGCCTTCCCAGGTCAGGTGATAAATTTTCCCTCCTATCAGAGGTGTGTGCATATGGAGGAGGTACACTTCAGTTTGAGACACAACGAATGTGCCCGGTGGATCGGTCTCCGGTCTCCACCGGGTGTTCCAAGGCCAAGTGGCTCGGAGCTTTGGATGCTGGTCTTGAAGGCTTTCTGAAGACCGCCATGCAGCTGCCAGAGGCCAGGTGGCCGGCACTGGGGCCATGGTGGCATGGGGCAGGATGAGTTGTTTGAACTAGGAAATGCATGGTAAGTGGCAAGAGATCGAAACAGGCCTACTGGCGAAACCACTCGAAGCATCGGTTCTATTGGCTGGAACAAGGTGAATCTGTGCAACCTCGACGCTCTTAGATAGCGCAGGATCTTTTGTCCATCAGGGGTAGGATTATGCTTCCGAGAATCATGCATGGTCAGGGCCCACTAATTTCCAGTTGTATAGACATATATATCTCAGACTGCTATTGGAAAACTTGCAGGCAAGAAGAAGCCCCCACGTTTTGCTCAACGTTGCCTCCTTGGATTGCCCCGGAATGAGGTGAAAAAACGGCTGAAGTCGACGCTGAAAGCATCCTGCTTGTTGGAATTGCTTCAGGTTTTCAGGACTGCAAGCTGCGAATCGCTCGCGTGCGCGACATGTGTGTGGCGGACGTTTGATTTTTGGGCGCATCATACTTCCCGCTCATTCGGAACGCTTGCTTTGGACACAATGCTTTTTATGGTAGCTCGCTAGGCTTGTTTTAAGGATACCACGATGATGAAGGATGATATGACATGCATAGCTGTCAGTTTGCTGCTGGCTCCTCAACTGGACACATTGCACCGCAAGTATGAAGGGAGACTGAAGATGGTCCCTCGAAGAGACGTGTTTTCCACGAGTCAAAAAGAGCCGCCTGGCGCCAGCTTCCATGCTTTGGTCAATTTGAGGCCGAAGGAGAAAATTGGAGGAAGTCCTGACAAGGCCAACAAGTGGACAGGCAGGGTCTCTGTTTACACACGAACAAAACAAGCACCCCTTCCTCATGGAACCTGTATAAAGCTGGGTCAGTTGGTTTTAAGCTGCTCATGGATGGATTTCCTCCCGATAGAAAGAGAGGTATGGCACTGGCAAGGGACATTTGGATCAGAATTTGCACGCGCACCAAAGCGCTGTGATGTGACATGCCAGCATGCTGTGCCAATCTCTCGTTGTTTGTGCAAATGGACGGTGCCCTAGATGCCCTTCTCAACACCTTGTCAAAGATGGAAGTCAGCGAGTTGAACAAACTGCACGGCACATCCAGCGGCTTTTCCAACCTGCCGGTCTTCTTTTTGAGGCTTGGCAAAACTCACAACTCATATCAACTCATGACTTCTACTGTACCCCTTGTCTGAGGCACATGCTTGCTCAATATCACCCAGTATATATGCATATGTACACAGTATGTATATATTATAAAGATATTGGGTGTGGGAATACTGGAAATGGATTAACTATATGCACTTTCTTGTCTCCAGACTTTGGGTTGCCAGAGAAGCATTTTACAGCATGTGTACTCACCCTCCTTCCCTCCGAACTGTTGAACTCACATGGCGTCGGTTGGAAGCTTCCCGCCAATGAGAGCTCACACATGCTAGAGTTCAGACAGCGATTCCATCACAGCGTGTTCTGCTTCATAAGCTTGAAGCAACAACCATGCAAACATAGCCGCTTATGTAAAAACATCATGCTTCCACTTCTGGGTAGCCAAGGAATGGGGATTGGAGACGCAGCTGCGATGTTTTCCTGCCAAAGTTCCAGGAGATCTTGTTTTGGACCAAGGCGTCTGCCGTTGACAGGGTGGACTGAACAGGTATCAGGCAGGCGCTCTGGAAGAGTATGCGATGCGTTGAAGACTGCCTATCTTTTGCGGCCTGTTCAAAAAGCTTTTAGGGGTTGCTTGTAGCAGTAGGGGGGGCAATTGCAGAACAGGAGGTTGTACTGGAGAGATTCGAAGGGACCCTGCCTGGAGTCAATCGAGGCGCCGGTGCTGAATGTATCTGTGACCCACGAAGCCTGGACGAAGTTTGCTCGGACAAAGTGTCCGTTTCGTCATCTCAAAAGTTTCGTCATTTGGGCCGTCCAAGCTTCAGAGGAAAAACGTCAGGAAGATGTTGTTTGAGATGCCTGGTGGGTGGTGGTGCCATGTTGCCTGGGTACGGCCTACTTTCAAGAAGGGTTGTCCCCCTACCAACAGCGGTTGGAATGCAACGTGTGTTTGAGCGTGGCAAAGATAGCAATCCAGCAATTCAATTTGGGCAAGTCGAGTCATTTTCATTCTCTCAGACAATTGTGCTGCGTAGTTGCACTTATCTAAGGAAGTTGGCCGCCTGTTTGCAGAGCGACCGCCACTGCCACTAGTGGTAGAACACCTTTGCAAGATGGTAGAAGGCCGGCCGAATGTGTGGAGTACAAGGGGAATATTGTCATGGCAGAGAGCTGGTTTGTAGAGGGTTCAAATGGGCGTGTCGTAAAACAGGGAAGACCTCCCAGTCGACCTCTTCTCCCTGTCAAGCATACACACATTTGGCGTGTCACCAGTTTTCTTGCTGAAAAATGGCCATCGCGTCTTGCCCCTTGTGGGAGATGAGAGGTCCTTTCACGATAAAGCTGCCAGAATTCATGTTTGGTCTTGGTCCTTTCAAGAAGGCTTTTGTTTGTAGACCTTACACGCACTCCCGTTTGGATCGACTAAGCCAACGGAGCGGAGAAGTGGATGGAAAGACAACGGTGTCGCCCAAACGGTCCCCACGGTGTCGGCATCCTTTTTTGCAGGATACGCAGACTTCAAAGTGGAACGCCAAGATCAGGTGCACTTTTTGCATGCGTACAAGCAACTTTGGCGAAAACAAGGTGAGAGTGGTGGCTTCTGAGATCATCCAACATGTTGGAATACTGTATGTGTTTCTGCTCGATCTGTTTGCGTACCAAGCTGCCCAGCTGAGGCTTTTTCTAGTAGGGCTCAAAACTATCCACCTATATATATATATATAGAAAATGTTCTGTAAACCACAGCACCAGTCACGAAAGGGCGTGGAACAATCACCCGAATCTGCCTCAAGGGCCAGAGGCTTGGTTCTATTGTGCGTTCATGTTGTTTGTACTTGATACAAGTTTGCCTGCCGCTAAAGTATACACAAGATTGCAACCCTACCTTCCGGGCCATGCTTTAGGGAGAGTGCGTCCATGACACGCTTTTGTTTTACTTTCTCGTGGCCTCGCGATGGCACCTTGATGTGAAGCGGTCATTGGGAAGACACGAACCTTGTTGAACACAGAAAGAGCGTTGAAGACTCTTCACGCAAACAGACTACGCTAGAGTAGTTGGTACTGGACAAGCCACAGGGACGCAGCCAGGTACTTGAATGAACATCTCAATGATGATCCTTCTGCGCTTGATCCATTGAAGAATGTCCGATGCATTTTGGACGAACGGGCTACTTGGTGACATTCCCAATGGGCTGTTGCTTTACCGTGCCCACGTAGCCTTTGGCCTGAGGGGACTTTGCGCTGGGCGCGGCTCTTCAGTCTTCGTTTGCTCATGAATATGCCGCCGCTTTATGCCACTTGTCTCATGGCCTTCGGGGTGCCTACGAGCGCGCTTCACAGGCATTTTCAAGCTTGGAGTCTCTGAAAGCTACCAATGAGTGCGCGAGACCTTTGGCAAGGTGAAGGATCCAAGAATCCGTCGCCTTTTGCACTGTTTCGGGCTTTCCCGTCGTTTATGCATGTTGCCAGCTTGCTTTCATTCTCCCACCAAGGCCGTGAGGCCCGATGTGAAGCCCTTCGACCAGTTGCTGTTGCAGCTTGGAGCTCGAGAAAGCGTGCCTTGGAGCTTGGAGGAAAGGCCCGCGCGAGAGCAACTGGAATCTTTCCAGGCCAAGGGTTGACCCATGTAGCTGGTACTAGTAGCTTCTTGCTCCCTAGTAGTAATGGCCTCCAACCTAATAGCGATGGCCTCCACCTAGTAGCTTCTTGCTACTATGCATATTTTGCAACGGGCCTGATGGAGCAACAGCTAAGGTGTCTGACCAACCCTTGCCAGAGCCTCTGGTTCCGGATCGGCTCTTGGAGGAGAAGCTTTCACAGATGAACAAGCTTTTGTAGTGCAGATGGCCCACAAATCAAGGTTTTCACACATGTTTCTAGTGCTGTGAAGGAGCCGGCCAACCAGCTTGTTTTTGCCTCCGGGTCAAACACCAAATGTGTAGTCGTCGTGCTAATTTTTACAATTGATATATTTTGCACTTTTCCTGATCCGGTTATGTTTACACTTGATATATTGTGCACTTTTCCGATCCAGTTATATACGTAGATTATGATGATACTGATGATGAGGATGATGATGAGGATGAGGATGAGGGTGAGGGTGAGGATGATGATGATGATGATGATGATGATGATGATGATGATGATGATGA